TGTTCCCAGTGCATCTTTCTCTTGTAGGTTAGGGGTAGGGTGGGCAAAAGACTCGTTTCAGAGCTATCCAGGGCTGAAGTGAAGACTTTGAGGTGAACATCAGAGGAATATACTCCCTTACACAGCAAAGGCTAGGCTTGCTGCCAACCAGCTAGCAATAGAATTTGCCCAATACAAAGATTATTAAATGTTGTTAGAGGACCCAAGGGGTTACAATCTCACTTTATACATACTACAGCTTTGATAAAAAAACAACATGGTTTTAGCATCAAAATCTAATAGCCCTAAGGAACAGTACTGGAAACTATCAAGTAGGCCAGGAGGCAAAGGCAGGCTGACCTGAGTTCAAGGCCTGTCCAGTCTAGAGAGGGTTCTAGGACAGCCAGGGATACAGGGAAATCATCAAGCAGAAGCAGGTGGTCTGAGTTGCAGACCAGTCAGGAATATGACCCTGCCTCAAAACCAAAACCTACAGGGTCATGCTTCTGCTCATCAGCACCACCTTGAACAAATGCCAGAAACTGGGAGCTTCCGGTGAGTTCCATCTGTAAGATCTGGTGCCCTCTTCTGGTGTGCAGGTACCAATACTGTACATCTGCACCCGACAGGTATGGAATTAAGTTAGTTAATAGCCGCTGGTCTTTTGACCTAGTCAGGCTGCGCCCCAGGCCCTTGACACCTTCATCCCAAGTCTTCTCTCTGGTACCAGAGTATAGAATTTCCAAGCTAACTTTAATTCCTTACAAAAAAACATATTGATAGTAAATGCTTTCAAGATATTATAAATATGCTGCCAATAATTTCTGCATTTACCATATTTTCCAAAACATAATGGCTAAGTACAAGACTTAGAAATGTGGATTCATTCTAAAGACAGCTTTATATTTCAAACTTCTGAGTTCAAAGGCATGAGAAATTCTTTTTATTTTAGGAAAGCTGAGATTAAGACACCGCTGCATGGTAAAACAGAGGCCAATCTACTTTCTACTTGCAGGGTAAGTGTCACAGGCCTTCATAGAAAGCAATTACCCACCAAGCTATCTTGTTGGCCCACCCAAGATTTCTTACATGCCAGGGGAAGTTATCACACTTGTAGCCCTCCAGGCTGGGGACACACGCTTACTGTGTGTAAGGACCTGGGTTCCATCATGAGCACCAAAGCCTAACTGTTCTAACCCTGAACTGTGTAACACAGGGTCCACCAGCTGTCACAGACCCCAGCTTAAACCAACAGGATAAGCAACACTTCTCAGGCCAACACAGCTCAGTCACAGTTGAACACTGGACACAACCCAGTCAGGCCTTATGTTTTTGTGCAAGATTTTATTAAACGTCTGTACAGGACAACATCCAGCCTCCAGGTGCAGTTGCCAAGACCCTGAAACAAAACAAAACAATGTAAGAAAAAACTCATCCGAATGCTTTCATTTATTACGAAGTGTACGCTCCCATGAGGGTTTGACTCAAACACACCCCAGCACATGAGGCAGTGAAGGTTTGTGGGGTTGTCCACCACATTCCAACTTGTATCCTCCCTCAGTAAGTTCTGACAGTGTGTAAGTAATTACACACACTGAAACATCAGAACTAACAGTAAAAACAAACAAAACTCCAAACAGGTCTGTGTGGCCCAGGAAGGTCCCGCAGACATACCTGTTAGGCTGTAGGCACTGGCTGGGGCATGGCAGGCGGCTCTGGCTTCCCGCCCTTCTGCTCTGAGATAGGGGTGGTGGGCAAGATTTCATCCTTTGGCTCCACAATGCTCACGTGATCCGGCAGAGGCTTCTTGGGGCCGATCTTACCACTTGGATCCCAGGGCAACATGATCTTCACTTTGATGCCCAGCACACCTAAAAGACACCAGGGCTAAAATTGAGCTGGGATTTTTACCAGCTGCCACCATACAACAGGAAAGCAAGGAGACAGTGGTACCTACTGCCACGCGGCCCTTCTCAGACAAATGCCTCTAAATCCATCAGTGCGCAGGACACTTTTGCCAGAGGAACCAAGCACAGCACCACAGAACATGGCACTGACAAGGCCCAAGAGCAGGACGTGACCTTTCTGACTCGTCATCTTGTCATCACCGAAGGGCACACGGAAGGCTGAGACAGGGACAATGCAAGCCTTCACAGCCCCGTAACCAACAGCTCCCCCTCGCCCAAGACAAGGCCGTGGAAGCACAGCTGTCTGCTAGTCTACCCTAGGCACTCCGAGCCACCCAGCACTACTCAGCTCAGCTACAGAGCCTAGGCCCTGGCTCCTCCCCAGCACAGCTGCTCACCCTGTCTGAGGAGCACATGGCGCACGGCGGTGTCGACGTAGTAGTTGACAGGGTCTCCACTGTGGATCATCAGACCATCCACGAACTTCATGGACTTGGCCCTCTGTCCTCGGAGCTTCCCGGACACCACGACCTCACAGCCCTTGGCCCCACTCTCCATGATGAACCGAAGCACGCCATAGCAGGCCCTTTGGGAGAAACCCACTGGTTACCAAAGACATAACCTGCCTGCCCCTCCCACCAAGTTAACTCTCAAATGGTAGCTTGGGGAAACTACCAGACTTCAGCCAAAACAACAATCTGCTGCCCAGATGCTTTTCCGCCCTGGCTTGTGTTAGAATCAGCTCTGAATGAACTCTTTATACCATTATGCCCAGGTCCTTCTCCAGGCCATTATCTGGGCTGGCCAAGCTCAAGCGGAGGTATTTCTTCACATCTTGGGTTCAGGGGAACTGAACTCGGGTTGTCAGGCTTGCCTTTGTCTTGGCGACAAGCACCTTTGTGTGAACCGTCTCTGCTGTTAGGAGATACCTTTTGGAGACTGGGTCTCACTACATAATCCTGGCTGTTTGGAATTTGCAGAGATCCACCTCATCTGGCAGAAACAGGTTATTTTGGGGGTGGGGGTGGGGGAGGCTTGCTAAGTGGTTCCAGGGCCCACCCTAGCTGAGAGGCACAGGAAGAGCCTCTAACATTAGCCACCTTGATTCTCAGAGAACCAGAAAACTTTTATGCCTATCAAACACTAACATTAAAAAGCAAAAAGACTGGGTGTGGTGGCTCACCCCTTTAATCCCAGCACTAGGGAGGTAGAGGAAGGTGGATCTGAGTTGAAGTCAGTCTGAATTCTAGACAGTCAAGCCCATGCAGACAAACTACCTCAAAAAAGAACCCTGCCCCACCAGGTAAGGTGGTGAAGGCCTTTAATTTTGTTGGGCCATCTCAGAATTAAAGGCCAGCTAGAGTCACAGTTGAGACCCTGTGTCTCAAAACATAAACTTGGCCTTCTCATAACAAAGGCAGGGCAGAACAGATTTTTTTTAAAACGAAGTCAAACCAGCTCAGGCAGGGCCCACATCGCTTAGTGCCACACAACTTACAGAACTGTTATCTTTATAATCCTCACAAATGCATTAGATCCGCACTGACTTCTAACTTGTTTTGAAACGTGCGCCGTTCCAGAAGCACTAAAGCTGTATCTACTAACTATGGACACCACAGAGGAGCAACAACAGGATGCTTCACCACCCACCGATCAAGGGTGCTTTCTAAACCTCAAAGAACCAACAGATATACACCCCCTATGGTTTTCTTTTGTTACGTTCTCAGTGTATCCAAATACTCCCATTATAGTACTGACCATGCTATATACCCAGGCTGGCCTGTAACTAAGCAACCCTCCTCCTGGTCTCTCAAGTGTTGGGATTATAGGCAACTAGGTCTTATAAGCCTAATTGTTCAGGGGCAGGGGCTCCTTATTGTCACACCAACAGAGACTAGATGATCCTGTCACTGAAGAGTTATCTGCTACCAAAGTGTCAGGCACACACTGATGCACAGCAGGGCACGACCGCCAAGTCCTAGACACTCACCTTCGCACAGCAAGCCCTCCGAGGAGTTTGTAACGTAGAGACTCAGCCTGAGCAATGGCACACAGACCTCTTGTGGCCACTTTCTCTGCATAAAGCTTTAAAAGAAGAAAGGGACATATTTATTACTTAGCAGTTTTCATTAAAGCCATAGTAATATTCCTTAAATACCTCATTGCCCTTCTCAGGTTCCCCACAACCACGCTAGGGAGAGTGATGGGATAGCCTATCCACCTATGTATCATTTTCATACACAAATGGAGTGAAAAGCACTTCAGCCACCAGAATACTCCCATAGATTTAAGGATATCATTTGTAGTTTTTAGACAGGATTCTACGAAGGCAGCGCTGACTGGCTCTGCCCTTGCCACTATCCTGCCTTCTGGGTGCCAGGATAAAAGGTATGCCCCCTGCCATGCAAGGCAAGCACACTACTTAAAGAAAACTCTGAGATGTATCAATCCATGTAGAATATTCATCGGCCACGCCAAAGGCTTCCAGAAGTACCATTCTACATTTAGAACCAACATCTAAATCCAGTCTACAATAGCCTTGGATATAAGCAGGGGACCTAACCTCCACGCTGCCCTCAGGGAAGCCGAACCTCTTCTGGACCACTGCAGTCAGCTCTCTGATCCGGCGACCCTTCTCACCAAGAACATTCTGTGTTCTGCAGAGAGGAAAAGTTGTAATTCACTCAACACCTCATGAGCAATCTATCACTCTGCAAGAACACACGTTAAATGCAAAGGATTAAGGTAAAGTCTTCTCAAATGAGGTTAAAAAAAAAAAGCAACCACACTCACCGAGGCCAGGTTCTCACACACCTGTCCAAGTTTACACACCCATCTTAGTACACACAGTGATTACAGGTGACAGCTGAAGTCATCTACATTTTTACCTGGTGGCTAAAATAATGATTTCTGTTCTGGTTGGTGTGACTCGGACTTCAACCCCGGAGTAGCCATCTTCAGCCAGTTCCCGAGTGAGAAACTCATTCAGTTCGGCTTTGAAAATGCCATCAGCCACAAACTAAACCAAAGAAGTTACGTTCAGAGTTAAGACAGGGTGGAGGTTTCCCTTAGAGCCAGCACTACCCCCAGTGGCCCTATAGGAAGGCAGACAGCCCTTCTCAGACAAATGCCTGTAGGTCATCTTGAGGAAGTTTCTTTGACCGGTGCTTCCAGCTGGGCCACAGAACGCGGCACAGTGAGGCCTCCTGGACAAAAGACAACACCTCTTCAGACTCGTCATCATCTCTTCATCGAAGGGTTTTAGGGCACGACGGACAAATGCAGAACAAACGTAAAACCCTATTCTCGAGCGGCCCCTCTGCAGCTCACTGAGCACAGCAAGGACAGTGTGCGTAGCGTCTACCAGGATAGAGGGCAGATCCTAACTCGACAAAGCATGGTGGACAACAGCTTTGCGGTCTGCGTGCATGACACAACGACTGGTCATTTATTCCTAAACCCGATGATCTTCACACTTCTTCCCCATGGAATGACCAAGTCTGGGACGCTTTGGCTGCAGATCCCCGTAAAGAGAGCGGCGCCAATAGTCAGCAGCTTTCAAGACGACGGAGAAGGTACTGCTAAACTTAACTTCACTTACCATACACACTGCATAAGCTCACGCCCTCAAACTAATCCCGGCGACCAAAAATCGCTCCATGAAGGAGCCCGGTGCTCCTCTCCGGCCCAGACCCTCCCCAGCCACACTGCGCTAGCCCGGAGCCGGCCCGACACCCCATCCACGTCCATCCGCAGCCCGCAGAGACGCCAGACGGCAGCAGCCGCCCCCCGGGATCCGTCGCGGGGATGAGGGTCTCACTGTGGCAGTCGCAGCAGGCGCCGCGCCGCCCCGGGCCCCGATGCTCACCTTCCTCTTCTTAGAAATCTGCACCGCCATCTTGCCGCCGCGCGTCCCCGAGAGGAAAGGAAGTGGCTCGAGGGCGGAAGTGGGTATAAAGGGCGCGGAACGACGACGCAACGCCGCGCGACGGCGACGCTCGCCAGTGCTCATGGGAAATGAAGTCTCGCGTTCGTAAAGGCGAAGGGGGAGAAGGGTAACCTAGCAACCCGTAGTGTAGGCGGAACAGGAAGTGCAAATCTAATTCTGGTCTGAAAAAAATATCAAAGTTCTCTAGCGCAGAGCACACCTGTGATTCCATCACTATAGAGGTGGAGGCTGGAGGGTCTGTCATTCCCGACTACATAGTGAGTTCATCGCTAGCTTGTGCTGGTACGTGAGCCCCCGACTCAAAAATAAACAAAAACTTTGAACAGAGCAACCGTGAGGCAAGAAATGCAAACCGTAGGTATAAGCACACTAGCGGAGTTTACCCAGCATGGAACCCTGTTGCTTACACCTTCAGGACCACACTAATGAAAACTTTCATTGAAGTTCATTTAGGGAACCAGCCAGGTGGCTCAGTAGGTAAATGTGTTTGATTTCGATCAGAGCTAACTTCACAAAGTTATCCTAGGACCTTTCCACGCATTCCCTCCCCACCTCCGGCTCACACAAAAATACCAATAAATAATATTTAAAACAAATTCACGTAGCTACCCTCATCTCTACTCATAAAATCCAATTTCTCTGTTCTAAATGATAAAAATAGACTAAAATTATTCGTTCTTGGGTCTGTTCTATTCTCTCTCTCTCTCTCTCTCTCTCTCTCAGATGGATTTCAGCTGTAGTTGAGAATGACCTTAAGTGATTCTCCTACATACACTTCCCAAGTGTTGGGCTTAGGAGTATACCACCATGCCTAGACTAGACTATATTATTATTAACTTACCAGTACCTCAACTACATAAAGTCTGCTCAAATTAATATAACAAAAAGTCCAATTATATAACGAAAGTCAGAGCAGTAGCTTGTGTGCTCATATTCTTTTGTAAATGATTTTTTTTTCCAGCCAGGCAAAGTGTTACACATCTGTAATCTCAGCACTTGGGACACTGAAGCAGGAGGATTACGTGTTGGAGAACAGCCTGGGTTACAGAGCAACACATACACAGATCTTTTTAAGACATTAAAATCCTAGCGAGGGCCAAGCGGTGGTGGTGCACGCCTTTAATCCCAGCACTTGGGAGGCAGAGGCAGGCGAGTCTCTGTGAGTTTGCGACCAGCCCCATCTACAGAGTTCTAGGACAGCCAGAGAAACCCTGTCTCAAAAAACCAAACCAAAAACCATTAACAGCCTATGATGTTTATTACAAAGGCAAACCCTGACCCTCAAGATGGGCTTCACGGTAGCATTTCTAGTAGTGAACACTTGCACCAAACCTCAGAAGTTTTTGAACTTCCAGCGGGGTGGGCTACCAGTAGGGGCTGTCAATGTTATAAACCAGCAGGGCTTTGGGAAGGAGTACTGGATAATATAAATCTATAACTCCGATGTTCACACCGGCAATCACTCCTTGCCCAGACGAAAACCCTGCTGCTTTAACTTGTACTGCAGTGTTCATGGCTCAATCAAGGAGAAGGCTCCAGTACACCTTATGTTAATCCCACCAAATGAAAGTAAGGGCCACCACCTGAATTCCTGGAGTTGCATTAAGCAAGTTTTATTTTCTGTCATACAGGGCTGTCTCCCTAAAGCAGGGTTTGAGAGAACAGCATTGGACACAAGAGAAAGTGGAATTCATATAGCTCAAAAATGGCAAGATAGGGGTTTTTCAAGGGCTGGAGGGATTTGCAGAGGCATTTTGGTTACCTAGGAACTTGGCAGAACATCTCATCTTGTTAGGGTGTGGAAGATGTCAAATTCCAGGAAATGGGTCTAGATGTGGCCAAACCCAGGTGTTTGTTTTAGTTTTTTGGTTTTTCAAAACAGGGTTTCTTTTTTTTATATTTATTTATTATTTATTATGTATACAATAGTCTATGCCGAAGGACAGAAGAGGGCACCAGACCTCATTACAGATGGTTGTGAGCCACCATGTGGTTGCTGGGAATTAAACTCAGGACCTTTGGAAGAGCAGGCAATGCTCTTAACCACTGAGCCATCTCTCCAGCCCTCAAAACAGGGTTTCCATGTATAGCCCTAGCTGTCCTGAAACTAGTTTTGTAGACCAGGCTGGCCTTGAACTCACAGAAATGTGCCTGCCTCTGCCTCCGGGGTTCTGGGATTAAAGGCGTGCACCAACACCACTGGGCCAAATCCAAGTTTTACAGTAAAAAAACAGGAATGAATTTATTTTGATCTTGTAATAGGAGGACTTCTAATCTTAAGATAGAGTGAGGCTGGTCCACCTCATGAAGCCTTCTTCCGGTTTGCAATTCACCATGGCTATGACTGTCTCCTTGCGACCAAAGACCTGTACTGGCTGTGGCAGACTCTTTGACCTTAGGGATGTGGGCTTGAATAAGAGTTCCTCACTTTGAGGTGCTGCCACCAGACAAAAATATCAACAAAATCTTTTTAGAAAATAGTGTTTTGTCTGGCTGTGGAGGCACACACCTTTAATCAACAAGGCAGGTGGATCTTTCTGAGTTCAAGGCCAGTCCGGGACAGTCAAGACTATACAAAGAAACCTTGTCTCAAAAATCAAAAAGAAAAAAAAAAGTGAGTATCTGAAATGGGCAAGGCAGTTCATGCCTATAATCCTGAAATAGAATATAGTAGAAAAGACCAATTATTACATATTGATTTATTGGTTTATTTAGTGATTTACTAAAAGCCCTGCTACCTGGGACGGAATGACCTGGAGAAATATCTGAGACAATAGGTCATCATCCTTAATAAACTGCCGATGGCAATGTACGCTTTGGTAAAATTTTCCTTGCTTGCCTGCCCCATCTTGTGTTATAGGATATATAATAAGAATGCAAACTTGACCTCGGAAAGCCTTTCAGGACCTATCCTGGCTCCGGTCCACTTGTGACATCTCTCTTCCACTCTCTTTGATGTTAAAGTGCTTATTCCAGAAAGGGTCTCAAAACAGCCCAACACTTGGGAGGTGGAGCCAGGAGGAACCGGGTTCAAGATCACCCTTAGCTACATATTGGATCCAAGGTCAGACAGGGTCACAGGAGACTGCGCCTCAAAAACAAAACAATAAAAGAGAACCAGAGCCCTGCGTAGTGGCACGTGTCTTTAATCCCAGTACTCAAGAGGCAGAGGCTGGAGGGTCTCTGTGAGTTCAAGGCCATCCTGGAAGTGAATTCCAGGACAGCCAGAACTATATAGTGAGACCCTGTCTCAAAAAGAAAACAAAACAGAGAAAGAGAGGGAGGGACACAAGGAATTTGAACCCCAATATTCACTCCTTTGCTCTTAATAGTCCCTTAGTTCTTAGTCCCTTGTCCATTCCCAAACAGATGATCCAGGCAAAAACTCTTCCCAGCCCATCTTCCTGCATACCTGTTCCCCCACCCCTAGTTTAATAAAGAAACTCTTGAATATTAAGTAGAGCTCTGGGAATCCTGAAGAAGAGGGGGGTTGGGAGCAAGAGGGTAAAGGACATCACAAGAAGACTACCCATAGAACCAGCTAATCAGGGCTCATAGGGGCTTACAGAGACTAAGCCAACAAATTAGGGAACCTATAGCCCTGCCCTAGGTCCTCGGCATATATGTTATGGTTGCATAGCTTGGTGTCCTTGTAAGACTCCTAACAGTGTGAGTGGGGGTGTCTCTGACTCTTTTGCTTGCTTTTGGAACCCTATTCCTTCTCCTGGGTTGCCTCATCCAACCTTAATATGAGGTTATATGCCTAGTCTTATTGTAATTTGATATGACATATTTGGTGGATATCCCTGTGAGACCTGTCCTTTCTGAAGGGAAGTGGAGGAGCAGTGGGGGAGAAGGGAGGTGGGAGAAACAGTCAGTCAGGACATAACAGGGATATAATATATGAGAGAAGAATAAAAAATAAAAAAGGAAACTCTCCTCCTACTCAAAGCCACCCCCGTCTCTGTGTTCTGGTTCACACCCGTTGTTTCTGGGAGACCTTGCTCTACCATCTCATTCTCTCCCATCCTGGTGGTGATGATCTGCCCTCATTCTGGTTCCCACCGTCCAATGCCTCCCTTGTTGCTCCCAAGATCAATGGGCCACTTCCTTCTAGGTTGTGCTACTTCTAATGTTTCTGTAGCATTCTTTTTTTTTTTTCAAGACAGGGTTTCTCTGTAGCTTTGAAGCCTGTCCTGGCACTAGCTATTGTAGACCAGGCTGGCCTCTAACTCACAGAGATACGCCTGCCTCTGCCTCCCGAGTGCTAGGATTAAAGGCGTGCACCACTACTGCCCGGCTTGTTTC